ATTGTGCATGTCCTTTGACTCTTGTTTCAGTGTCTAAAATAAGATTCACAGAAGCTGTACAAATGAGGATTAGTGATGATTAACACATTTATAAATGGGCCAGGGGTAAAAACTGCCAGCTGTTTTTGCACTCTGTTGTCACACTTGGCTTACCGCCTGATATTTGGCTTTTGTAACTAATTAGATTCTAAATTCTCCTTTTTTCTTTAGTCTATCTGCTCTGAAATAGTTTTTGGAAATTATTTTAAACATTAAAGCTTTGAACGCAGCTGAACTTTTTTTGGTAATCATAAACATGTCTGTAGATGAACAGATGGCTGGCTGGTCTTATTTTATTTTTTTCTGTTATTGGTGGATATAATATATTGCAGACATGCTTGGTTTTACTTAAAGTAGGCATACTTGTTTTTTTTCCTATGGTCACATATTTCTGGCAATAAATTATTGATTGAGTGGTCACACTTTGTGAAATGTTGAGGCTTGGATTGTAAAAAGTGACAGCCCTGTGATGGGCAGCAGGACATTGTTACACAAACTGACCGTCACTTGGAGGTCTGGTCTGAGGCAGGTCACTCTGTTTACTTGTGCATGAGCGAGGCAGCCAGGTTGTTATGCATATTTTTATTGTTATATTTTTACTCTCTGAGCAAATGAACTTTCTACCTATACCTATGATTCATGAGTATAAGCAAAGTTTTCATCAAAGTAAACTGGTGATGTTAAATAAAATTTGGCTGTTAATTGTTTTGTGATCTTCAAATATAAGAAAACTAAGTTATCTTGGTATAAAACTAAAATGATTGATCCTCTGAGATAGTGTTTTGAGTCTTAAATTCTTATCTTTCAGTAGTCAAGACAGTTTGGTTTTTCTTCCGATTTATCTTGCTATTAATTAGTAAGATTTGTTTTCTGTTGACTTTTAGTAAGAAGAAAATGCTTAACACGGAATCAGGGTGTCTTTGTAATGTGTCCTATGTGTCCTAGAAGTCAGAGTCTAGAGAAGCAGTAATGGGAAATTTCCTAAACATCAAACTCTTAATATATATATATATACAGTGGAAACCATATATAACAGGCCCGGTAATAACAGGGATCCGGTAATAACAGGGATTTTTTAAATCCCCGTTTTTTCCTACTCTTTGTCTCTATTAAAAGTTATCGGCATTTTTTCCTACTCTTTGTCTCTATTAAAAGTTATCGGCAATAACAGGGCCTCATCGGAGCCCTACCGGTTATAGCAGGAACAAAGGCTCGCTAACAATGGGTAAAAAGTAAGAGAGAGAGAGAGAGAGCAAGCCCACGCAAGCCATGCCACTACAAGCACACGCAGCGTGTGAAGCAAGAGAGGGCTGGGGTGTGCTCCAGACCTCGATCTAGCCCAAAACCTAGCAACACGCACGCGTAATGTGTCACCAACGATGTCAAGGGCTAGAGAAAATACCTTTCAATTGACAGAAAATACAAAAAAATTCTGGCAGTTGACAAAAAGCAAGCTCCACTGGCAGAGATTTGTCGTCAGTTCGACATTCCACAAGGTTCGATCCACACCATTATCAATTATCAAGGATAGAGAGAAAATAGTGGCAGCATACTCCAAATTGGAGTCCAATATAAAGTTTGCTCTGGATCGAAAGAAGATGAGACTACCCGATGCAGATGCTGTGGACCAAGCTCTTCTGATGTGGTTTAAGGAGGCAAGGAGAAAGTCGGTGCCAAAACCTCTGTTCGTGGGTACTTGTGGTAAGGGAAACTACCCATGAATAAGTACAGCTGGATTAGTCCACAAATGCTTACTTTCCTTGCATTTCTGATTTAACAGGGATCGAATATAACAGGACATTTTATCTACTCCCACCATCCCTGTTATATCAGGGTTCCACTGTATGTATAAATTTCAAACATATATTAACAAGCTAGTAAGAGATATTAATTGGGTCGTGGTTGCAGTATGTTATTTAATTGTGGGAATATCCTCCATAATGTTTTAGTTCTAACATAGTGTAGGCTATCCGTTCTATCTATGAATACACTCCACAGTGTGTGAGACTTCAACAAGATGCATCAAGAAAAAATCTTTCTGTATCAAAATGTGCATAAAATATATCCCTCATTTTGGCAGTATTCACAAAGTTTTGTCCAACTTTGAATTGAAGATAGAGCTATTTGTCCTTTGATTTTAGCCGTTTTTTAATTTTATTTTAGCAATTAATTTCCTAAAATGGAGATATAAGAAATCAGCTGAGGAGAAACAAAAACGAAACTTTGTCTTGGTTGGTTATGGTTCATGAAAACAGGTCTCACAATAATCCCAGCGGGTGCATTTGTTATGGAGTCTAATGCTTTAGTGATAGCTTAGTTCCAAGGATAATATTTTGTACTCTTCATTAAATTTTAAAGCATAGATGCGTAGGGCCTACAATGTATCTGTTTATACTCATGTCATAATTCTGTTTGTGAGAGATTTTGTTTTTTGTTTGTTTTTGTTGGGGGGGGGGGGGTTGGGAGGGGGGGGGAGGGGGGAATTACAAAGATTGGAATTGATGATTTTTTATTTAATTACGCACAAACTGGATTTCTTCCTAATGAATCCGATGGAGTACATGATGACATTTATACTGTTCTAGTCTGCTTGTTCTTGTGACAGATGGTGAAATATACAGTGCACTGTGTGGGCCATATGATCTGAGTGCCCCCGTCTATTGTTTGACTGTGTCACACAGGCTAGACATTGTATCAATAAAATCTCTCTGAAAACATACATGTGCACTTTTTGTTCTTGAATGACAGGTAGCTACCATCTTTGGCTCTTTCAGTAGGCCTATATGCCTATATGTATACAGGGGCGGTTTTGTTAACTGCAGTTTTTTGTCAGCTGGACTGTTGACAAGAGATTTATTCCTGATAATGATTTTCATTCAGTTTTAAGTAAATCCAAACAAACATGTATCAACATTCAAAAGCGCCTTGCCGATTTGTAGGCGCTCAAATAGATAAGTGGGTTTCCCTGCTGTTTTGTCGAGACAGAGCCTCATTCCCTCACGTTTGTTATTGCGCCGGCTCGTTACTTTAATTTATCGTCTCACGGCAAGCCGTCACGTCACGGAACTTCGTACGAGACCAAACCGAACTCGGCGATGACGTCAGTCCTGTGGACAAATCCATCGACTGCCCTCAGAGCGAATAGGGCATCCCTTAATTGCCAAATTAGCCACTTTGTAGCTTACAAAATTAAGAAGGAGACTGTCTTGAGCAGCACAGACACATGTATTATTTTATCAGCAAAACATGTATTTATCATTCAGCTTTTCTCTAACTACTATCAGAACATAATTTATTGTCAGCATGGCACAAATCTTTTTTGTTTATTGACTTTTTAACCACCTATAGTTCCTGTTTGGCATTCACTCATCGTTTTCTCCCCACTAATAACTTACCTGGCCCATAGGAGTCTGGCCGGCGAGAGAAGGAATCGTCTAGTGAAGATATATAAGGAGAATTTTAACGAGGAGCGAGAGGCACTCGGCTGTCAGAGTCTGGGCCGAAAACAATGGGCCTACCCCCATCCCTTCCCTCTCCTTTTCCACTATCACCCCAGCCAAACACAAGTTCTTTAATTAGCATTTGACACATTTCCCCACTTTGTTACAACACAGTATTCTGTTTTGAGAACTGAGAAGTGCGATGAAGAACATTTGATGATATAATGATCGGAAACTGTTGTGTGCTAACTTTGTCCAGCTTTGTATAGTTTTAGTATCCTTAGCGTTGATCTACTTGGGACAGCGTCACTGGTACGGTATCAATTAACTTTTTGTAATCATACAGGACAGTTTTTATTACATATTTAACGGGTCCAGTGCATGTCGATATTTTTTTTTCCTAAATTTTTTTTTAATTGGGGGGGGGGGGGGGGAGAAAGTACGAGTAAAATACTGGAGGCCAGGACCAGCAGTTTATTGCCTTTCACTTTCAGTTTGTTTTCTAGCCTAGTAGTGGGGTGTTTTTTTCTGTGCCGATCAAGTCAGTTCTATTACTATTAATCTCAGTAAGTTCCATCATACGTTTTTCAATATTGTTTCTTGACACTGCCGCATATTTTAGCTCTTTCACATTATATTACAATAATATGGTTACAGTGGTGTGTGTGTGTGTGTGTGTGAGTTGGGGAGGGAGTGGGG